ATATGATACCGTTGCAGTCATCAATATGTCGATCAAAATGCATAAGGGCTGAGCGTCATTGAAACTATGACTATTTTTCTTTTAATTTTCCATATTTTCGACTATTGTTCGTATGGAAGCTATATGATATAGTCCGATTTTGATGAAATTTAATATGCAATTCAAGAGCAGTAAGAAAACTCTATATTCCAAAAATTATGCTTGTCTGATGAAAAAAAACGATGTTATAATTTTATTTCCCGTATTTCTATATAGATTTTTCGATCTTTCCTATGGCCGCCATATGATAACGTTGTCGGATTTTAATGAAAAATCATGCTCGTGAGATTAAAAACAACGACGTTGTAATTTTTTTCAAAAATTTTTTTTTCTGATCAAAAACAAAGGCGTTAGAATTTTTTATTTTAAGATTTAATATTTGTGAAATAGAAAATAAGAATAGATGTGTCGAAGGGCAATATTGGGGGCGAGAAACAGTAGCGTGGACGAAATTAATGACATCATTTTAAATAAACTTCCAGAAGATCAGTCTGCTAAACGAATTTACTGTTTTCGCAAGGCAGACTTTTTTAATAGAAATTTAATATCTTGCTATAATTGGTCCGATCTTTACACTTGCAATAATATGGCGGATGCCATAAATATATTTTATACTGTAATCCAGACTTTTTTTATTCTTGTGTTCCGAAATACTATCCGTCTATCTCTAGCAAACCTCATTGGTTCAATAAAGAGTTGACAAACTTAAGAAATGTAAAATCCAGACTTTATAGGAAATTTAAAGATACCGGTTCTCACTCTATCTTTTCAAAATATTTAAAAGCTCGGTCAAATTTTACCGTGCCTAATGCTCAGTATTACAAAAACTATTTAAACCGTTGCAAGGTCCAGTTTGCGCAGGATCCGAAACAGTTTTATAATTCCGTTAATACTAAGCGTAAAACATCTTCTTTCCCTTCCTCGTTATCATTTGAAAATACTACGGCAACATCGGATCAGGCAATAGCCGATTTATTTGCCCAGTTTTTTCAAACAACATACTCACCTCACTTACCTCACTATGATCAGCCCTATTCTTATGCTGTATCCAAGTCGAATTTAGTATTCTGTCCCACGTTAAGCGAGAGCTCCCTACTTTGCGATCTTCAGCGTGTTAAGCCTGTATATTCGCCAGAATTCCGATGGAATTCCTGGCTGTGTGCTTAAATATTGTGCGGAAGCCTTGTGCAAGCCGCTTCTCAAATTGTTTACCCTCTCTTTGGAAATGTCACAGTTTCCTCATATGTGGAAGGAGTCTTTTGTCATTCCTCTTCACAAAAAAGGTAACAAATCGAATGCAAGCAATTATAGAGGTATCTCTAAATTGTCTGCCATTCCTAAGCTTTTTGAAAAAGTTATCACCCCTCACTTGCAGCACATGTGTAGGTCAATAATTTCACCGTGTCAACACGGTTTTATAAAACAAAGATCAACAACCACTAATCTCTTGGAGTTTACTTCATTCGTGATAAGGGGTTTTAAACACAATTTTCAAACAGATGTCATTTACACTGACTTTAGTAAAGCATTTGACTCTGTAAATCATTCACTTCTTATAAGGAAACTTGACTTATTAGGTTTCCCAGTTGATCTTCTAGAATGGATCTTAAGTTGTCTGAATGGCAGGACACAAAGGGTCCTTTTTTAGAATTCAATTTCTTGTGTTCTCCGAGTCACCTCCGGCGTCCCTCAAGGGAGCCACCTTGGCCCGCTACTATTTAGGGGAGAGTGGTCCCATACCGACCGGTCGTACCATACCGACCCCCCCCCATGTTTCTCAGAGATGGCGATGCTAGCCGAATTGTCGGTAACTTCAGTGAAAAGCTGTTATAACACAGACATTTTGGAGATAGATAGCCAATTTGACTTCTTTTGTTTCAATTGCAATTTTTCCGTTTGTTTTGTTTCAACGCCTGTGACATTCATTTTTTTTCTTTACTGAACTTGAGCTTAAATATTTTTAAAGTTTTTTTTCTCCGCATAAAAATCGGAGGGTAAGGTTTTCTGATAGTTGATAGTCCTAGCTGTCATTCACGTTATTAGAATTACATCGCTCTTTGCGTCATTAGATAATGGCGAGCAGTTAATTAGAAAAGGTTGTGGTGGTCCGAAACCGACCGCGAAGTGATGGTCCGAAACCGACCCCCATTTATTGGCAGCTTAATATGTCATAGCGTATTTTTGAGGGAATATATGAAAAAGTAAACAAGATTCAGTAAAGAAAAGTAACAGAAACAGCAAAAACCTCAGAAGAAAGCGAAGACACTGTCATCAACGAGCGGCTTTCGAAAAACAACGCGAAAACAACGCGAAAACTTACTATGAGGAAGAGGGCAACTCAGACTTCATCAATTGACTCCAGTGCCCTTTATTTCATACATTAATTTTTATTTTCTGGAAAGAACCTTCAATATATTTCTTAATAAACGTCACAATCATTAAATTCTATTTTATAATATTAAATTTTTCTGTTAAGAAATAGGGGGTCGGTTTCGGACCACTACTTTTGAGTACGACCAAAAAGTGGAGTTTTATATTTGCCTGAATATCTAACGCTTCAAAGCACCTACCTTACTAATCAATTAGATGTATAGTAAACTGATCCCTCTACATAGTAAATTTTTGAACTGAACTGAAAAATTGTTTTTTCTCCCCTTTATCGCCTTTGCCATTTAGGGGGTCGGTATCGCACCACCCTCCCCTACCTTATTTATTAATGACCTTCCATTAGTAATAACACACTTTCGTGTAGGGGAGACCGGGGGTCATGAGCCACGGGGGTCGTGAGACGCGCTTACAGCCCTGAACTAAAAAGCGCGACATCTACCAGCTGACTTCGAAACTTCTTGCTTGTTTCCAATCTTCATATCCACATCACAAATATTCCGCTCATGCCGATTCTTTATGTTTTCCCAAATAGCAACTCCAATTTTGTGATCGAAAGTTTTGTAGACCGTTCGTGTTTGCTGTCTTTTCGCTTTGTTTTACAAGCTATTTGCGAGAGTGCATACATCCGAAACATTCCTTGGTGAGTAGCCTTTTGACACACGGAACAAATTTTGCATAATCATTTAATGCGTCCGTAAAGCAGTAGCCATATTTAAAATATAGCTATTGGGGGGTCGTAAGACAACGTTCTCGGGGGTTATGAGACATTCTATTACCGCGTCATCTAGGAACATAAAATTGTATTTTATAGCCTGATATAGTGTTTCTGTACACAGCCAAAACGTTTAATGATAATTTTGATATTTTTGATGGATTCAGTGTTTTTGATGATCGTTTTTTCTTTCTTTAGTCATCATGGTGCGTCATAAGTATAGTCAGACTGCCAAATCTGCGATTGATGTCAAAGTTTTTGTGGCTGCTATAAAAGAGGTTGCTATCGAGAAAAAGTCGAAATCTTTTCAATTTGAATAAATTGTAGACCACAAAAGATGCCTTATTAAAGATTAAAATAAACAATTTTGATAAAATGAAGCCATTTTCATTCTTATAAATTTGTGTCTCACAACCCTGTAAAGTAGTTTCCTGGCTGGGATATGACTCAGTCTGTCCAGGATCGCTTACAGAAAATTTATATCTGCGGGACTATCGGAAATTTTGATAGAGGATGAGCCGACGGAGATGGAGGAGTCGGACTCACGGTAGTGTGGATGGCAAAGGCGGGAAAATATGGAGAACAACTGAGGCTGGTCGCCGGTAGCAGTTGCCAGGATAATGGGTAGCGGTTCACTCTCGGGCACAGAGGCTGGGCGCCTGGCTGTGGTCGCCGGAAGCGGCACACACGCGGGAGCAGCGGCAGGACGCCGGGCTGCCGTCGCCGGGGTACACGCAGGGACGGGGCGTGGCACGCAAGCGGGAGCAGAGGCTGGACGCCTGGCTGCGGTCACCGGGTTCCACGTGAGGAAGGGGCGTGGCACGCAAGCGGGAGCAGAGGCTGGACGCCTGGCTGCGATCACCGGGTTCCACGTGGGCAGGAAAAGGGCGTGGCACACAAGCGGGAGCAGAGGCTGTGCGCCTGGCTGCGATCACCGGGTTCCACGTGGGGCAGGGAGAGGGGCGTGGCACGCAAGCGGGAGCAGAGGCTTGTCGCCTGGCTGCGATCACCGGGTTCCACGTGAGGAAGGGGCGTGGCACGCAAGCGGGAGCAGAGGCTGTGCGCCTGGCTGCGATCACCGGGTTCCACGTGGGCAGGAAAAGGGCGTGGCACACAAGCGGGAGCAGAGGCTGTGCGCCTGGCTGCGATCACCGGGTTCCACGTGGGGCAGGGAGAGGGGCGTGGCACGCAAGCGGGAGCAGAGGCTTGTCGCCTGGCTGCGATCACCGGGTTCCACGTGAGGCAGGGAAAGGGCGTGGCACGCAGGCGGGAGCAGAGGCTGGACGCCTGGCTGCAGTCACCGGGTTCCACGTGGGGCTGGGAAAGGGGCGTGGCACGCAAGCGGGAGCAGAGGCTGGACGCCTGGCTGCAGTCACCGGGTTCCACGTGGGGCTGGGAAAGGGGCGTGGCACGCAAGCGGGAGCAGAGGCTGGACGCCTGGCTGCAGTCACCGGGTTCCACGTGGGCAGGGGAAGGGGCGTGGCACGCAAGCGGGAGCAGAGGCTGTGCGCCTGGCTGCGGTCACCGGGTTCCACGTGGGGTAGGGAAAGGGGGCGTGGCACGCAAGCGGGAGCAGAGGCTGGACGCCTGGCTGCGGTCACCGGGTTCCACGTGGGGCAGGGAAAGGGGCGTGGTACGCAAGCGGGAGCAGAGGCTGGACGCCTGGCTGCAGTCACCGGGTTCCACGTGGGCAAAGGGAAGGGGCGGATGGGACCCTGAAATTGGGAAATGGCTGCCGGCTCTAACTACTGGGCACGGGAATGAATATGCAAGCGAGGGTGTTTCAATTTCATATACACGTGTTTTATTTTAATGATAAAAAAAATGGTCCCTGCCTATACCGCACTCCTGTGTGTTTTAGCACTACTCACTCAGACAGATTTATGGTCAAGCTCGGGGCGGAGATTCGATGGAGTCCTCGGCGATGTTGGAGCGGGGCCTCCTTCGATGGTGATGGTTCCACTCGCGTAGATCACGAAGGGCGGCGCGGGGCCTGCCACGTGTTGGGGCGCGCGGCGTGTATTCGCGGCGGGGTTGCGATGTGCGAGGTGTGCCAGGTGCGCGAGGTGTGCGGGGTGTGCGAAGCGTGCGAGGTGTGCGAGGTGTGATTCACTTTCCCGGTGTACTGTCGAAGGGATCTGGCACGTGGTCCAGAGTACGCAGAGCCGTGTCGAACGGGTGCTGAAGTGCGTGTGGTCGCGACCGATCCTCGAAGATAATTGATTAATTGCTCTCGCCAAAACTCCGTAGCAGCCAAAGTTAAAGTCTTCTGCCGCCGTCCTCTGCCGCAGTCCTCTGCCCGCATGATCGGCGCTTTGCATATTCTAATGCATCGTAACTATTTTGTATCCACTCTCTCCCGCTTGGCCGCCCTATGCTCGCCCAAGCGGGGCCTTCATTCTCGTAGTGTAAGTGCGCTTTGTAGACTTAGATTTTCGGTTGTTCTCTCTCGTTCCTCATGCTCATGTTCTCTCGTTCTCCATGCCGTCGTACTCTCCCCGCCCTTTGCTGCTTAGTGATGCTCGTTCAGTTTGTACTTAGCTTAGACTTATAATAAAATACTGGAAAACTTCATGAACTCAATACTAACTCCACGGTCTTACTGCTCCTAGGCAAAATTAAATTCTAATGATAACAGAGATAAATTGTGCGGCCAAATTGGGCCGTCACACCCCCCCCTTACTTCGCCGGGCGTAAGGAGATGGTGACCTCGTTTTTGGTGTTTATGCGGACTCGGAAAATGTAACATTAATTTAGGGACCTGTCTAACTAACCTTGGTAGTGCGGTATACAAACTGGCTGGGTGACTTAACGTTAGGGTTACAAGTTTACTAGGTCTACCCGTTTTCCCCAAACCTGGTTCATTTGGCGATGTCCTCGGCGCTTTCGGGCTCACTGTCGATGTCTTCCCCGTGGAATGCCTTGAGATCAGCGAGGCCGGCGGTTCGTTTGCGTCTGGTCTTTGGGTCCTGGAGTCGGACGATATTCTGAGCGATGAATTTGACAACCTTGAATGGTCCGTCGAAGCGTGGGGCCAGCTTGGCCGCAAATCCTTCCGCAGCTTTCGAGAGATGGTGTTGCTTGAGGAGTACCAGGTCACCTATGGCTGGCCTCCAGGTGCGTCGGCGCAGGTTATAGTGTTTGCTCTGATTTTCGCTAGCCCGCTTTGTGTGTTCCAGCGCGGCCTTGAAGATCTCCTGGAGATGCGTCGCCTTCTCGGTGGGTGTCGCTGGTTCTCGACCCAAGTGTGGGGTAACCTCGTGGTAAAGGGACCCCGGCAGTCTCGGCTCTCGACCATGTAGTAGATAAGCTGGACTGAATCCGGTGGTGTCCGAGGCGCTGGAGTTAATGGCAAGGCTTATCTCTGGCAAGGCTGCGTCCCAGGTCTTCTGGTTCCCATCGATGTATTGCGCGATCATCGTCTTGACAGTCCTATTGGCGCGCTCCGTGGGGTTCTGCTGCGGCGAGTACGGGGCGGTGTGTTGGATGTTCATACCAAGTTGTTTGGCAAACTCCTTAAATGCTCTACTGGTAAACTGTGTGCCATTGTCGCAGACAAACGTCTTGGGCACCCCGAATCTGGCCAAGATTCGTTCGCGGAATGACCGCGAAAGGTGAGCCGTAGTCGCCTTGCGAAGGGGAATAAGTTCGACCCACTTGCTGAAAGCGTCGAAGAAGACCAGCAACATCGTGTTGCCATGGGTGGACCGAGGCAAAGGTCCCACAAAATCGGCGCACAGCGTGTCGAACGGCTCCGCCACCACGCGGGTGAACATCTGTCCCGGTGGTTTCAGCTGGCTGGCTTTGAATTTCTGGCAAGTTTCGCACTTACGGACATACCTGACCACGTCGCGGAAAAGTCCAGGCCAATAGTACCTCTGCATGATCCGTCTGGCCGTTTTCCGGATTCCCATGTGTCCCGCTGCTGGTTGGTCGTGACACTCCTGCAAAATGCGCGCTCGAAGTGGCTGGGGCACGCACAGCTTCCAAGGAATGTAGTCTTCCTCCTCTGGTCGGTTTCCAAAGCGTCGGTATAGCTGATCGTTCTCTTGTGCGTACTCGGGGTAGTTGGCCGGCTCCTCAGCGATCCTCGTCCGCATCCTATCTATCCATGCGCAGGGGCGTTGTTCCGTGATGGCCTGTTGTAGGCGTTCCAGTGGTTGCCGGGAGAGTGCGTCGGCGACGACATTCTGGTTTCCTCGTCGATAGTGTACGTCAAAGCGATATTGTTGCAGCTCCAAGGCCCAGCGAGCTATGCGACCGGTGGGGTTCTCGATAGCGTTGAGCCATTTTAACGCCAGATGATCGGTGACCACATCGAAGTGGTACCCCTCGAGGTAGCATCGAAATTTGCGCACCGCCCACACGATTGCCAGGCATTCCTTCTCTGTCGTGGAATAGTTTCCCTCGGCCGTTGACAGTCGTCGGCTGGCGTACGCGATGACCCGCTCTCGGCCTTCGATCTGCTGCGTCAACACTGCTCCTAATCCAAAGTCGCTTGCATCCGTCTGCACTGTGAATTTTTGCTCGAAGTCCGGGCAAGCTAAAACGGGTGCTTCTGATAGCTTGCATTTCAATTCCTCGAACGCTCGTTGCTGGTCCGCCTCCCAGGTCCACTTCTGGCTCTTCTTCAACAGTTTGGTCATCGGCTGCACAATGTTGGTGAAGTTTGGTACAAATCGCCGGTACCATGAGGCGATACCAAGACATCTCCTCAGCTCCTTGATTGATGACGGTGGTTGAAGGGCCTGTATAGCGGCTATTTTCTCCGGGTCGGTATGAATGCCATCCTCGTTGATCTGATGTCCTAGATACACGATGCTTCGCTGGAAAAATTTACATTTGTCCCGGTTGAGTTTCAGATTTGCGGCGCGCAGCCGGCGAAGTACCTCCCGTAGGTGTTGCATGTGTTCCTCGAGGGTTTTGCTAACGACAATTATGTCGTCGAGATACGCGAACGCGTGGGGGTCCATCTCAGGTCCGATGACACCGTCCAATGCTCGCTGAAACGTTGCAGGTGCCGAATGTAGCCCGAAGGGCATGACTTTCCAATGATACAGGCCCCGTCCGGGCACTGTAAAAGCTGTGTACTCCCGACTGCCGGCCGCCATCGGAATCTGCCAATACCCGCTCTTCAGATCCAGAGTGGATATGTACTTGGCATTCCGTAGTTTTTCCAGGATGTGGTTTATCCTGGGCAGTGGGTATGCATCGGGAATCGAGCGAGCATTCAGCTGCCGGTAGTCCACGCACATGCGGACGTCTCCAGTCTTCTTCCCGACGAGTACGATTGGCGCACTGTGGGGGCTCTTCGAGGGTTCGATCCTGCCGTCGCGCAGAAGCTCGTCGACCTGATCATCTATGATCCGTTGCATCGCTGGATTCTTAGTGAAATACCGCTGCTTGATTGGGCGGTCATCCCTCATGACAATCGAGTGCTCCGTGATATGGGATACGCCTGTGAGTCCGTTGAACCGGTCCAGTTCCTCGTCCAATTCTCTCCTGGCGGCGTCCAGGCCCTCCTCTATGACGACGGTGGTCGCTCTCGTCGACGGTTCCTCGGGGGTGTTGATGGCCACTGCTGGTAGTCCTGCTGACAGTCTGAAGGGGTTCCTCTGCATGGCTTCCGCGCGTGGTGGCGGGAGCACCTGGTGATACTGGCTTGCGGTAGCCCTCGGGATAACGATGCTGTCCTCGTTCGTGGTTACGGCCGAGTTCCTCTCTGGTTGCATGTCCATTTGTGTCCGTTGAATGATTGGTGGCCGCCTGCGGCGGGGCCGCCGTGTCCTGGCAACTGGGTCTGCCGAGGTTTGCGACGCTGCTCGCTGCTGTGTCTCTTGGTGAGGGCTCGTGCAGGTTGGCGGGGCTGATTGCCGCGGCGCCTTGGGGCCGGGACTCGCTGAGATTGGTGGGGCTGGTCGCCGCTGCACCCTCGGGTCTGTGTTCGCTAAGCTGGGCGGGGCTGGTCGCCGCTGCGCCGTGGAGTCCGGGTTCGCTGAGGTTGGCGGGGCTGGTCGCCGCTGCGCCGTGGGGTTCGCTGAGACTGGCGGGGCTGGTCGCCGCTGCGCCGTGGAGTTCGCTGAGATTGGCGGGGCTGGTCGCCGCTGCGCCGTGGAGTTCGCTGAGATTGGCGGGGCTGGTCGCCGCTGCGCCGTTGGGTCCGCGTTCGCTGAGATTGGCGGGGCTGGTCGCCGCTGCGCCGTGGGGTCCGCGTTCGCGATGGGAGGAGCTATTCGACCGGGCCCTATTTTAAGGCTCACCTGGTTGATCTCGATGTTGGCTTCCGCTTGGCTTAGGAAGTCCATTCCCAGGAGTACGTCGTCGATCGTAGAGGGCAGCACCAGAACCGGCATGGTCACACTCCGGTCTCCCAAACTGATGGTGACGTGAAGAGCCTGTGTGATCTCCCTCCTGCTGCCGTCCGCAAGGCTAAGTTGAGTGATCACGGCCCGCTGATTGTGGTCGGTCCTGACCAGCGCTGCAATCCTCTCGTTGACGAAAGTGCGCGTGGCTCCAGTGTCGATGGTGGCGCGGATAGCCTGACCCTCGATGGACACGGAGGCCACTATCCGGCTCCCCTCGCACCGGAGGACAGGATTTATTGTCGCGTCGGGAAAGTGGGCGCTGTCTCCACCCGTTCCCTGGGTGAGTGGAGGCGCTCCTCGTTTCCCGCAGGCTTGGCTCGGCAGCAGTCGATCGTCCGTGTCCCTCGGCGGCCGCAGTCCCAGCAAAATAGGAGTCGTGCGTTCCTGCACTCCTGGCTGAAGTGTCCCGTTTGTCCACAGTTCCTGCAGGCAGTCCGGACGTCGATTCTGGGTCCTTCTTCGATGCGATGGTGGGCAACTTCGGTGGCCACGGGTACCAGGGCGGTGGATGCTTGCGGTCCCTCGGTGCGGCGGTCTCCTGATGCTGGGTTCGACGGAGTTGGGTTCCTCGTAGTGGTTGTCCTTGATGTCCTTGATGCTGTCATCATCTGCGCATACCGGCGTTGGTCCTGGTCCCGGATAATTTCGTATTCCGTTACTAACTGCGTCAACTTGGTCAGCGTCCCGAACTCGTGCCTGCGTGTGAACAATTTATATTCCGGGAGGAGGTTCTCATAAATCCG